ACTTGTGTCTTAAGACACAAATTAGCATTATCCTAATTTTAATATCAGAATTTAATTAGTATTATGTATTTTATTGATTAATTAAGTAGTGAAGTTGGTTAATATGATTAATAATATTTTTTTATTAATGCAATATTAAAATTGGTTAATAATAAATTTTATATTTATTATATAAATATAATTATAAATAATATATTTTTTATTTGAAAATTTTGAAGAAAAAAAACTATTTATTATATAATTTAAGTATTAATGTTATTTGTTGATGTCAATATAACATTGTTTTTTATATATAAAATGATTATATAAAAAGAAGAAAACTGTTCCGGTATGGGCCGCACCTCGGCAGGCCCAATAACGCATGCGGCCCAACAAGCGAACCAAGCACGCCGGGCACGCGCCCTCCTAGACGAGCAGGGGCAGGCCGCCGAGCACAAGCTACGTCTCCACACCCCTTTTCCTGTCGTCCACCACGCCGGTCGAGCGGAACCACCCGAGCTCCCCTCCGCGGGGAGAATAACGTGTTCGGCGCACGTTCTCCACGTGCTCCCCTCCGCGGGGACACGTCATCGGTCAACTGCCCACCTCCGAAAGAGCAGGTCAAACCCACTTTCCGGAGATCTAGGAGCAGTTGAACTAGGGCGAAGACCACATCCTGGTCTTCACTACGCCACGTAAGCCCTAGCAGTCATTAGGGTTGGGCCTGGTCGTCCAGCCCACCTCGAATGACCGTTGGCCCAGCGCTGGGGTCTCTCTATAAATACCCTCTTCCTCAAGAGGGTCAGGTAACTCTTCTTGCCCCCTTTTTTCTGTACTATTGCTTCCTCTCTGTCCAACTTCTTACTTGGGCGTCGGAGTGCTTTGCAGGTACACCCCCTCCTCTTTCTCACCCCGGCGAACAGATAACAGCCCAACGGAGTGTGGCCAGTCCGTGATCCCTCCTGATCAGGTCAGATCAAAAACTATTATAAATAAAGCACAACCGTATTCAATACTATGTAGGGGCACCATTTAGGTGTCAGAATATATTTCCTCTAAAAAGAATGACATAGACAATAATTTTGTTTTGGATGAAGGAAGATTTATGATGGACAACTTTGAAAGCATGCAACTTACCTGTTAAAGAACAATATGCCTATTGAGTGGGAATCATGTGCTAACTACACAAAAATTCATGTAGTATGAAGTAATTTTCTCACACAAGATTTTTGGTTAAGTTAGCAGATATTCTACATCTTATTCAAATGCTTTTAAATAATTGTCTCTATTTTATTTAGAAGAAGAAGAAAAAGAAAACAAACATTATAAAACTAAATATATTACTTTAAACAACAAAATATTAATATGTCTTTTTTTAATTTTCTTAATTAACTAAAACAATCCTATTTTAAGTTTAGATTCTAATTTGATGAATCACTTAGTTACATTTAGATATAATACTCCATTTAAATAATTTATTTATTATATTAATATTTTTACGAATCAGACTCTTTTCATCTTTAATAATAAAGAGTCACATTTGAAAATTTAAAAATGTCTTTTTTTAAATTTCAGAATAATATTTCGGACAACACATATTCTATATCAAGACACATTTTAAATGACACACACCTTTATTTTTTCAAACAATAATTTGAAAGTGTATTTTTGAACTCGTTCCTACAATGATTTTGTTAATTTTATAGCTTAGTGACATCTACAGAAGTGTAGTTCCAGATTTGTCAAGTCGATATAAAAAAAAAAAAAACAACTTGCATGGATTTCACAACTCAATGAATATTTTGGAAGTGCGTTTTCGGTATTGTTAAGCGCAAAATTTAATAAAACATTGTTTTACATGTTTGATTCATTCGTTATCATATTACCATTTCTTCTTCAAACCCTACAAAAAAACTCCTTTCACACTCAATCATCTTTTCTACTTCAAAACAACACTTCTCTAATTTTCACATTAAAATGAGCAAAATAAATTGAAATTTAAATTAATGTACATGTATTTCCTTCTTCATTACTTCAAATAATCTAGTTTTCTGTCTGAAAAAATAACATTGCGTCCGAAAATATATTTCCGGATTGTTGTTGAATATCATACATAACTGTACTTATGGATTAGTTAAATGTTGCATTTGGTCAATTTTAAATTTTGTTTCTGCTATAGTTGATCTTAGATATGGTGAACAATAATGTTGTCCCTAAATCTATTGTGTCCACGAATGTCCAACCAGTTGATGTCAAGGTAGATGTTGATAAACAATTTACAAATGAGCAATAATTTGGTGTTCGTGAACACAAGCTCAAATGGATTCTCACGGAGGCTGCCAAATCGGGGTTAAACATTTAATCAAGAGGTCAGATAATGATTCTGATAAAAGATAAACATTTATGACACTAAGATGCGAAAAAAGTGGCAAGTACATAAATTCTATCTAGGAGTTGAAATGGGATGACACTTATTCGAGTAGATGTGAGTGTTCTTTTAAGTTGCACGAGTACCTTATGGTGAATAATACATAGATATTTAATGTGATTTATGGTATAAATTATCATGTTGTATGTCACAAGTTAACTTGTCTTCCCAATGTATATCGCCTTTAACCTGAAGAGAATGAACTTGTTTCTGATATGTCATTGAACATGTTGCATCCCAAAAACATACTTGCAACCTTGAAATAGAAAAGACATCAAAAAGTATCAAGCAAGTATACAATGTTCATACCCGAAATTAAAAAACAAGGCGATAAGAGGTCGGAGAACTAAAATGCAACGACTTTTAAAACTTTTGGATAATAACCATTATGCATATAATAAGTACACACTATGCAAGAATAAAAAAAATTGTTCGAGATATATTTTGTATTCATAATGATTCCATCAAGTTGTTCAACATATTTCTCACTATGCTCATTATTGACTCAACATATAAGACCAACAAGTAAAAACTTCTACTTCTGGAAATTGTTGGTGTTATTTCTACAAAGATGACTTTATCCGTGGCTTTGCCTTTTCAGAAAGTGAAAAAGATGACAATGTTACTTGGGCTTTAGAAATGTGTCGGACTAGGTTGAAGGACAAAGAAAACATGTCAAAGATCATTGTCATTGATCGCAATACTGGATTGATGAATTTTAATTGTAAAGGTGTTTCCTACATCATATGTATTAGTTAGTAGGTATCACATAACAAAAAATATGAGAAGTAGACTTAAGCCTCTGGTAGGGATCAAATAAATCAAAGGTGAAAATGAAAAAATTGTCCTATGTCATATTAGAAAGCATAACAAATGCTTGGAATGTTATAAAAATTTCTTCTATGGAAGAGTTATATCTCGCACTTGTAATTCATTTCAGGAGGGTGTGTGAGAAATATTTGGATTTTTTGAAATATGTTGAAAATACAATCTTATACTAAGTGAATGAGAAGATTGTTTGTGCTTGGATTGATCAAGAAAGACACTTTGGAAATACAACAACTAACAATGTCGAATCTACTTATGCTATATTAAAGAATTGGTTAGGAAATAGTAAGGTAATTTATGTAGAGATTAGGAGTTCGTGAACCAAATGATCTAAAATTAGCATAACGAGATACAACATGATCGAATGAGAAATAATTTAAGAGAGATTTTTGAAAGTTAATGACAACATAAAACCGCACATCAAAGAACAACTGAGGAATTGCCTAAATATGGGAACTCCTCGTGTTGTTAGAAAGTCAGGCATGCACTTTACCATTTAAAAAAAATAACATACTGAATTTTTTGATAAATCCAATAGTTTGGTGATTTTTTGAATTTTTAAAAAAATCGGTAATTCATATTTGATAGGCAAAAAAATCCACCTCTATCGGATTTTTCAAAAAATATTGTATGTTTTGTAATTTTCCGATATATTTGAAAAAATTGGTAAAAAATCGTATTTTTTAAGATTTTTTTTGAAAAATCTGATGAAAAAATTATAATTTTACACCAGAGTTTTAAAAAATTCAGTATAAAATCATAGATTTCTGAAAGAAAAAAATATAATTTTACACCTATTTTTAAAATATAAGTGTAAAAAGTATGATCTTTTTAGGCACCTAAAAATCTAATAAAACCCAAAAATATCAAATAAAAATTCATGTAAAATCTCACAAATTTTCCTAAAAATTGTAAACACGAATTTATTTTTAAAAATGTTGAAAAACTACTTCAGAGGATGAGTGACAGAAAAAAGACTATTTCTTAATATATTTTATATGTTTTTTTCAACGTACTATGCGAATTTCTAAATATAATGAGCTGCGTTCGAAAATAAATTTCCAAAAATAAAAAACAATTTTGAAAATTTGTCTGCAAATAAAAAACAATTTTGAAAATTCACGTGATTCATAAGAAACATAAAAAATATGTTAAGAAAAGAAATTCTCATCCTGGGCCCAATAAAACTACTCTTAAAAGCCCATGATGTACTATTTGGCAATCCTCGGTAACAAATGGGGCCCAAACCCTAGAAAAGATGCAATCATTGATCAACAACAGTTCACTTACTCTCACTCTCAAACGCTACCTTATCAAGCTTCATCTTCCTAATCAAATCTCAAATCTCCAGCGATTCCGATTCCGATTCCATCTCACACCATTACTAATTTCACCATTTCCACCATCGCTTATCAGGTCAGAATCACTATTCATTTTTCTAACATTCAAACATCTCCATGAAATCGCAATGTAATTTAATTACTTACTTTTTAAGGAAAAAACGAAACTATGTATCTTAATCAGATTCTCTAATTCAAGTTTATCTTATGTTTTTTAATTACTTATTAATATTTTTTATTTATTTAAGCAGGGTTAGGTGATGTGCCTAAAGAAGAGAAGAGTTGTTGTGTGACAGTTGTCGTGTGAGTCAATGTAACGTGCGTTTGTTCCTTAATCTTTTCTTAACAAGTGCTTTTCTCTTCCTTAACTAAGTGCTTTTCTCTTAACAGTCACAAACTTTTTATCTTTACCAAACAAAAATAGAATGAAGGTAAGAGGATAATGCTATTCCTCTTCTAATTCTAATCATCATTTATCAAATTATTGTCGTTTAAATTCATAGGATGTTTTGTTTTCTGCAGAGGTTACTTCGCATTCATAGTTTACAAACTCATATCTTTGTGTTAATCGCTTTGTGTCTCTTCACCTATTCATCCAGCTCCAAGGTAATTTTCATTTTTTTTTTATTTCTAATATTTGCAAGCAATCTTGTTTTTTTTGGTTTTTCTGACCGAGTACGAGGTAACAGATCGGAGAAACTTGTGGTACATGTGATGTTGGTCTTACATGTCAAACATGTCCTGCCAATGGAAATACAAGACCAAGATGTAGCAGAATACAAACTTTAAACCCAATTACCAAAGTTAGTTTCTTCTCCCAGATTATAATTGAAAATGTTTCTATAGTTTTTGTTTTGTTCTGTTTCAGTATTTTTTTTTGAAATTTTTTTGGTTATTTATTCTTATAATAACATTATGAAGGTTAAAGGCTTACCGTTTAATCGGTATTCATGGTTAACGTCGCATAATTCGTTTGCTTTAGCGGGGGCAAGGTCAGCCACAGGGTCCATTATCATTGCTCCTATGAACCAGGATGACACCATTGCTGATCAACTTAAAGTAAGATTCGATTCGTTAGATTAGATTATAATGTAATATTGTATTAAAAAATACACTAATTCATGTATGTTTTTCATTATGAAAATTAAATATATTACTTAAAAAAGCAAACTATTAATGCCTTTTTCAATTTTCTTTACTAAATGAAACGATTCTATTTTAAGTTTAGATTCTGATCTGATGAATGGTTTAGTCACAATTAAATCATGATTGATTAAACTCTTGTTTTTTTCCATTTCAGAACGGTGTTCGAGGATTTATGTTAGATATGTATGATTTTCAAAATGCCATATGGTTGTGTCATTCTACTCAAAACCAATGTTTCAACTTCACTTCCTTTGTAAGTGCGTGACTCTGATAGATTAATCACTACTCACTCTAACTAAGGAGTACTTTGTTAATCATTAATAACATAGCATAAACTTGGATGCATTTGGTTGATTTAGTGACATCCATGTGTCAATCTATGATCTGCAGCAACCGGCAATAAATGCGCTTAAAGACATGCGTTCGTTTCTGGACACAAATCCATCTGAAATAATCACCATCTTTATCGAGGATTATGTCAAATCTCCTTCAGGCCTAACTAAGCTCTTCCAAGCTTCAGGAATTAATAAGTACATGTTTCCTCTTGCTCGGATGCCCACGAAGGGTGAAGATTGGCCTACCGTTGATGACATGATCCAGAAGAATCAACGCTTCATTGCATTCACCTCGAAAGCTTCCAAGGAAAAATCTGAAGGCATTGCTTTCCAGTGGAAATATGTAGTAGAAAACCATTGTGAGTAATTGCATTGCACTTCTCTGTCACCCGAATGTGACATAGTGTAAGTAAGTGGACTGTGTTTTATTAATAGTGATTGTTTATATGTGTGAAAATTTTAGATGGAGATGAAGGCATGCATGAGGGTTCTTGTTCGAACCGTGGTGAATCGCCACCAATTGACTTAAAATCTAGGTCACTGGTTCTTGTTAACTTTTTTCGTTCTACTCCGAATCGTTCTCAATCCTGTGCCGATAATTCAGCTCCATTACTTAACATGATAAAGACTTGCCAAAAAGCAGCCGGCAACCGATGGCCAAATTTCATCGCTGTTGATTACTATCAGGTACTTATATATTCGTCGAAATTTCGATTAACTCATTAATCACAAAAATAGTTTATAATAACTCATTAATGATGATAATGGTGTCATAGAGGAATGATGGAGGAGGAGCAGCAGAAGCTGTTGATGAAGCAAATGGCCATCTCACTTGTGGATGTGACAACATTAACTATTGCAAGGTTTGATTAAACTATAGCATATGCTGCATATTCATTGGTAACTTTACCTTAATGTGTATTTAACTGTGTATTAATATAGGTTCTGGCAAATGGTACGTTTGGTGCATGTGATGTTCCTAAAATTTCTCCGCCGCCACCTGCTGCAGAAGCTGCACCAGATGGAAACCAGCAATCCCCTAATAATCAGTCAAGCAGAGCATATATTAGTAGAACAGCAACGATGATGCAACGAGCTGTGTTAATTTTGGTAGCCACGACTTTGTTGGCATTTTTATAAAATTTTCACTAGTTTGGCAGTGTTAATAATCATGTGAAAATATGTATTTATGCACCAGTATTGTACACATTGAGTCATTTGATTCTGAGCATTATTGTATAGAATCTGATTTTTGTATGTTTTTTTTATTAGTAAGCTTTTGTATGTTTTAAAGTTGATAGTTACCTCTTTGTAAGGGGAATCTTCAGCTTCAACACTCCCTCTGGATTTCTGCTACCATCAGCTAAATTCACCTCTAGTTGTAGTTTCTAGAATAATGAGTAATAAATAGTCAACAACATGAAGGATCACAAATCACAATACTATATTCAACTGGATTCATTCATATAATCACTTCGATGATAACAACACCAAAATCATATACATCACTTTGTTGCTTTTGCCGTCTAGGGAATAAAGTTCATTTGAATTTTTTAAGTTTGAAGATTACAAGGCCAACATGTAAGAGAATATTTTTCCTGCCTATTTCATTGCAAACTCATGTATATCAAAGAGGTTACTAAATTGTAATGATAAGAAATTGTTTTTTTTTATAAATAAATACAAATGAATATATTAAATAAAAATGATATTTGCTAAATATGGAAGGTGTTTATATATTTTAATACACTCTTGTATTCAAAACGGGAGATCAGTGTTTTAAAAATCGGACCGGACCGGCCGGTCGGACCGGTTAGACCGGGAACCGGCCTAGTAATCGGTCTGGTTTACTAGTTCGATCGTCTGTGTCATCAAACCGGTAAAAACCGGAAAAAACCGGGTTGGACCGGGAAACACCGGGTTTAGGGTTGGACCGGTTCTAATGCATTTTTTATTTTTTAATTAAAATTTAAATACAAAAGTTATAAAAATTAAAAAAAAAGTTTAAAATTAGATTATACTGCAATTATTTTGTAATTTTCTATTATTTTGTTATGTGTAATACATTTGTTTAAAATTTAAATTTAAATTATGAACTTGTGAATTTATGATATGATATTTTTAAAAAATTTAAGTACTAGTTATATTTTTTTAGAAACTAAATCATCCGGTTCGACCGGTTTTATATCTATATAGTGACAGGTCTATTCAACCGAGTTATCCGGTTTAATCCGATTTAGTCATGCGGTTCGACCAGTGACCCAGTGGTTCAACCGATAAACGAGTGACCCAGTATCCTCACTGGTTCAATGACCGGTCCGATTTTTAAAACACTGCGGGAGATTGTCAAATGTTGATACTAAATCGAAAATCATCAAAGAGTTGTTGTGGAGGGTTTTTAGTGAAGATGTCGGCTATTTAGTACCGTGACAAGATATGTATCACACAAACTTGATCACGAGTAACTTTCTCACGCACAAAGTGAATATTCATCTCAATGTGCTTAATGCGCTAATATTGAACTATATTGTCTGAGAGATATATGACACTTACATTATGATAATGTACTAATGTGACCTTTAAGACAGGGCATGTAGTTTCAAAAGAAGATTCCTAAACCAACATGACTTAAATATTACATTAGCGACTCCACGATATTCAACTTCAATATTGGAAGAAGATAATATAAGTCGTCGTTTGGCATACAGAGAGATGAGGCAATCCCCAAGATATAAACAATACACATATGTTGACCTTCTGGTGTGTGGACATCCATCTCGGTCAACATTAGTATATGTGATGAGGTTATCAATTTAAGAAGGATATAGATGTAGACTATATTCCAGAGCATCCTAAATATATCGAATGATGCATTTCAAGGCAGACATATGTTGTATTTTCGGATCATACATAAAAAAACACACTTGTTGCACGACATAAGTGATATTAGGTCTTGTAAAAATCAAGTATTGAAGTGTTCCAACAAGACTATGATACTCAATGGAATCATGATATGGATTTCCAAAAGATCTAGCTAGTTTGACTTATATGTCCACCGGTGTATAACATATGGTTTTCAAGAAGACATACTCGTGCGCTCAATAATTTCCTCAAAATAAATTGTAACATAAAAAGACCTCATGTGTGTCTGGTAACAGTTACTACCAACAATTTCCTTCATAGAGTGACCTCCTGGGCAAGCATACATAATTAGGATGTTGAATATTGCAGAAATGAATGATGCATGTAGATATTTTTATCTAAATTACCATGTAAAGATGTGTTCTAGACATCTAATTGATGAAGGTACCATGATTTTGATAAAGCAGCACCGAATATCATACGAATACTGGTTGATTTGACTACGGGACTGAAAGCATCACCACAATTGATACCATTTTGTTGACTGACACCATCATCTATAAGTTGAGCTTTATACCTCTCAAAAGAGCTATCCGATTTATTTTATGTCTAAAAATTCTCAAACTTTGAATAATATTAGCATTAGGCGGACGAGGCACTAAGTCCCACGTCTTAATTTCAGTAAGAGTATCATATTTTTCTTTCATGGCCATTTTACAATTATGATCATGTATGCATGAATGAGATTGTTAGGCAATGGAGAAATAGAGTTTGGAGATGAGGGGTAGATTAAAAAGTCTGTGAGGCTTAAAAATTCCATGTATGTTGTGCTCGGGTTGTCATTTGAGATGAGGGAGTGGGTGATGTGGGGAAATGATTGGGTCGTCCGCTTATGGTGAGGCCAAGTGTGAGGACAAGATAGGATTTTGTGCATGAGATGGCCTTTGTCAGGAGGTAGGGGTTATAGTAGTGAGATTTAAGGATGAGGTAATTGTGGTCGATGGGGTAGTATTTTGAGTAGGGGAGGTTTTGGTTTGTTGTAGTAGTGTTTTGATGAGAATAAGTTAGACCAAAGTTAAGAAAGAGTGTGTCGCTTGTATCCAAACATTCATAATTAGAGGTTGAAGGAGCAATTAAGGTAGAAAACGGTGACATGCTTATAAATAATTATTTTATGACTCAATAACTCATAACTTTATAACCTTTATGATTTGAAGGATAACCCAAAAATATGTTGGAACAAAAATGGTTGATACCATGTCCCTTAGGTCGTTATGATAACAAAGTATTTAAAGAACTATTGGATATTCTAACATTTGTTCAAGTATGCAGGATTATAAGATTGAGGAACAAATGAAGACTAGCTTGAGGATTTTGAATCTGAAGTTCAGACTCTGGCTCCTTTTGGTGAAAGTCTTCAATGTCTCTTCTCTTCCTCTCTATTTAAGGAGCAAAAGTCTTAAAGAAGAAGACTACGACAGGAGAATACACAACACTGATATACAAGGCTCTGAACCTTGAAATTTCAAAGAGAATTCACTTTGTCAAAAACAAGCTAGATTTACAACATCTTAACATTGTGTATATTTTAGAAGTTATTAAGTCTTATATTCTTTCTAAGTTGTATTCTGTCTACACCTCTGATTGTATATCAAGTGTAGTTGTTACCTAAATCTCTTAACAAATTATAGAGTCGAAAGTATCTTTCTTTAGTGCTTGAGCATTTGAAGTCTCTTGCTTGTGTGCTTGAGCATAGAAGTATCTTACTTGAAGGTTTAAGCATTAAAAGTTTATTGCTTGTGTGCTTGAGCATTGAAGTCTCTTACTTGTGGTTTTCAGTATTATAAGTCGCTTTCTTGGTGCTTAAGCATTGTAATCAATTTGGTTATAATGGAAATCTCTTAGAAGTGCAAGGGGACTGGACTACTCTCAAGTTATGAAAGAAACCAAGATAACTACTTGTGTCTCTTGTTTTACTTTACCTAGTTTTGAACTTTATTCTGTTTCTATCATTTGTTTAACTCTTAGTCAAATTCTGTTTCACAATCTGATAAGGTTTTTCAAGAGTTCAGACTCTGGGTGACTCTGATTCAGACTCTATACTGAATGTTCAGAATCTTATTAAGATCAATCAGAAGAAGAAAAAGTTAAAGAGAAAAGATGACACAATTCAACCCCCCTTCTTGAGTTTTTATCACCTTTAAATACACATGGTGTTGAGCGAGATTATAATTTATTTCTAGAGGTAGATGGAATGAGAAGGTAACAAAGAAAACCAAATAATTTTTGGTAGAAATTGTAAGTGGGAGTTTGTAGGGAAAGCTTTTTGTTGGGGAGGATATTGAGGAGGTAAATGGATATTTATAGTGCATGGTGCCAAAAATGAGGTCAGACAGAGACATGATCTAGAAGGGTGCAGATGATATTATTGATGATATAATTTTTTTTTTATTTTTTTCGTTTTGACAAGAGGTATGATGACAAAAAATCGAAGTTTTATTCCATTTAGTTTGCAAACTTTAAGAAAATGTGGATTGTCATAGTCTTTTCTAATATCATATTGAAAACATTTTATTTCTCTTTTAAATTATGTTTTAAGATGAGCACGAAGTTGAAGAAAAATGAAATGCAGTTGATATTTATTTATCATTGGAAAAGTCCATAAAAATTTTGTGAAATCAACAACTATTAAATCCTAATGACGATGTCCATCTAAACTTAGAAAATGTGACGTCCAAATATCACTATGGACAAAATCAAAAGACAAAAAAATATAGAAAAATAATTCATAAAATGGTAACTTTATTTTTTTTTCAAGAGGACAAGACTAACAAACAAAAAGATCTTCTGAAACATGTTACAGTAAATGAAATTGTTTCACTGAAGAGAACTTAAAATTGGGGTGCCCGAGTGTCCTGAGCCATTTTGCCGTGATTCTTTAGATAAAGGGACAAAGGTGGATTGTGAGGAGTTGGTAGTGTTTGATCTTGTGGTAATTGAATAGAGTTGACCCGAGCTATCACATCTCATTAAAAGAATTCATGTCTAAAAATCCTTTAGAGAAAAGTCAAAAGGATCAAATTCAACGGAAATATCATTATCAATGGTGAATTTTCTTATAGAAACAAATTGTTTAATTAACGGTTGTACATGTAATACATTGTTTAAGGTTATTTAATGATGAGGATTAAGTACTGATACATTTCCGTAATCAATAACTAAAATCTTTGAAGGGAAATCGCGATCCAAAACGCAGGGAAAAAATAATAATAAAAAAG